TCTGATATGATACTGTCAATATAATACATGTATTGAATAAATTTACTATGTTTACATAAAATGTTTAGTTAATCTCCCAGAGTTAACAATATGTTTGTCTAGCAGCCTGTTATACTATAGTTTCAGCTAAACGATAAGTTTAAACTCAAAAAAGTCTAAAATTTTTGAAAATTAAACTGTATATAGATAACACTRACATACAYATTTGGTGAAAATTTCAAGTATTTACAGTGATTAGTTTTTGAATTACAGCCATATAAAAAATTTTTTTGAAAACTGTTGGAAAATGTTTACTTTTGACCTCTATAATGCACCAAGGATATTCACTTWTACATCGRAAACCACCCCCAAARTTTGAAATTGAAGCATTATTTCRACTAGTTATGCTGTACACAGACACAAACAAAATACACATTGTAAAATCAATACTTCGTTCAGAATCTAAAATAATCAGTTTTATAATATAACAATATTATCCTTACCTGCATAAAGTTTTCTGTTTTCATTTTCAATATAACTGAATTTCTCATCGTTGTAGGTTTTATTCAAGACTTCTAATTTATTTGGTCCYTTATTCCCTGAATGAACGGCCAAATGACTTACCATTAAAAACATTTTTTTGTTTTCCTGTTTACTTGATTCTATAACTTTACGAGCTTCGTCTGTGAAAACATCAGTTGCGTACCGATCGTTGTTCATCTCATTTCCTACCCTTTCGAATCCACGCCTGGCATCGATACCACTCATTGTTTTCTATATTACCAATAACGAGAGTATAATATAATCGAATTTAATAGGCGGCGGGTACTTCCTAGCTAACTTATAATCTGTTGAATAATTTTTCTTACTGTAGCATGTATGCTGTTTCTATAACTGATATATCCGTTCCAGTAACCGAAATGACTGTCAAATCCCCTTTTTGTGGGAGTGAAACGTTTTTGATAACAGCCCAAATGCCATTTTCCCACCAAGTGTGTTGAATAGCCCAACTCTTTCAGATACTTAAAATTAATGTAAATAAAACTTTCAATTAATGACGATTGTACTAAATTAAATAATTAAATAATAAATGTGTACACTGCAGTTCTGCTTACTTTTGGTAAAATTTTTTCATTTATTGGCAGTGCTGAAGCTTGGCCAGCAGCAATGGGTGGACCTTGTAATCCTGACAACATTAAATTCGTGTTTGGTCTCAATAATACTTAATAATAACATATTTAATACTTATAGGTAGGTATTTTTAATTTTATATATTCCTATATTTTGAATCGTTATACAATATATTTGGAACATAGGAGTTTACCGATTGCGCATAAAATTACTTTTACATGTACCAATACGCCTATATTTTTTAGGCAATATTGAGCCTAAAAAATATTATTTTATTCGATAGCGCATAACATTATTTTAAATATAACACAATCATAATTTAATATACATAAGTATATAATTACAATTAAATAAATCACTATCATAATAGTATTCCATTTTAAAGCAGGTATATTTAAAAAATATATATCCAAAGTAGTAATGTTAATATATAGAATTTTTCAGATTCAATAAAAAAATTTGCTCGTAATTKTTTTAATTGTTATGCATTGAATATTAATAATAGTTGTTACATTTGAAAATTATAATCTATCTAACAATATTCATAAATATATAATTCAAATTTAATAAATCACCCACTATTTTAACTAAAGGTTAATTAAGGTTAGAAAATTAAAGGTTAATGGGATAATATGAGATAATATATTATAATATAAGATGCTGTTAGTGGAAAAGTTGAATGTAAATCTAGAATAATTTGTATTATTGTTTGAAGTTCAAATTTTTACAACATGAAATCGATTTCTCATGGAGCGATATTTTAAGTTTTTTGTCATTTACACTTTTTGCACTTTTATCATTTTCTAAACTAAATAAAATTTTAATGTCATAACATTTCATTGAAATTTAACATCCTTCATTACAATGACCAACTTGGGCCAATTGTATCTTATATTGTAAAGCAYAACGTCACCCACTTACGTGCTTTTATAATCAAATACGATAGGTGCAAACGCCCTCAATAGGGGCTACCCGAAGGACCACTCGACAAAGTCGAGAACAAGTTGACAGATGGAATGCCGACAACAGAGTAAGCCTTAAGTTGGTGTAGATAGGCAAACTAATCTGCTCCCCGTTACCAATCTAGATACACAACCAATTACACACAGCGACGACGACGACGAATAGAACAGGAGGTACCTGGTACATGTAATGTCAGAGGAATGAGGATGGTGCAAGTTAGTTACGGGGTGGGACTCTCTGTGGTCGAATCGATTTGGTGCAATGACCACAGAGCTCACATACGATTGGGACGATATTTAAAATTATCTTAACAACTATTGGAGTATTACTACGACGGTGAACACAGTAGGTTAGGCAAGGGTGGTGAACGAAACGTTGAACCGGACGACCTGGGCGGCCTCTCACACAACGCAATGTTGCTGGCGGACTTACGCGGATCGCAATTGATCTGGACGACCGGGGCGGCCTCACACACAACACAATGTTGCTGGCGGACTTACGCAGTGGACAATGGACACGTTCGAACCCGACGTCCAAAGGCGATTGATAGTGAATTTTGTGACGTTGATCAGACGTGTGAAACGAACTAGGCGGCCTCTCACACAACTCCGTTGCTGGCGGACTTATGCTTTACCCAACGGTTAAATAATAGTATTAATAAACAACAAATTACTGTTCGAAGACGAAATTTATTAGTTGATAGGTGCACACGGAGCATATACAATAGTTTGTTGATAGACAAATYGTTGAATAATAATGGTAATAATAATAATAATAATACGATAGAGACCACCGTGTGCACATAATGTTATATATCAATCTTAAGTATACGAAATAAAAGAATTTGGTCGCTTCATTAGCGGACCACAAAAAAAGAGCAACCTGAGTCGCTTTAATAGCGAGCAACAAGAAAAAATACGAAAGATGGCAATACGGCACACAGACACACCGACGCCAATAATACAGTAAAAACAATAATTTAGGGCGTTGGCCGCATAATAAATACAACAATAATAATAATAATAAATGATACAAACAAAATAATGATAGCGTACAGCAAGAGCTGACCAATAATTTACATAGAGAACATATAAAACAAAGAGAATAAATAAGGCAACAATTTTAACAATTTCACAATTAACGTAAAAGGATGGAGTGGTGGATGGACGAGGTGAACGAGATAACCGTCATGCAAATTTAAAAATGACACGCGATAAGCAGTAATTACCTTGGCGCGAACAATCGGTTTGATATATATTTATTTTGTTCAGTGCCTACTGTCTATTGGGATATAAGTGTTAGCTAGTGTTTCTATAACTACTTTTAGGACGACTTAAAATGTGGATGGCAAGACTAAAAATTTGATAAAAATGAAGCGTAAAATCTTTGACATGCATTATTGGTTGTACATTTAAAGCTTATTGAATAGATACCCAAGAATTTTGGAATTCAATAAAATTTATTATTCAATTAAGTACCTATATAGTTAATGAATTTACTGACATTTTAATGCGTTGGCTAAATTGTCATTATTTTTCCTATAAGCACATCTTCCTCTTTTTTAAGTGACTTGAAGTAAATATTCGTAAATACTTAATAACTTGTTTAGCAATAAAGAAAATATTGAACACATTGACTATTTTTAAACCATGGATCGTGAATAACTGTTACAAATATTTATAACAAAATTCAAAAGTTCAAATATTTTATCATAAGTAGGTACCTACATAAAAATTATAAAATGGTTTCTGTTGAAAAATATATTCTATTTAACAACGTTATAAATATATGTATTGACGCGGTCCCAGTCAACAAAAGTACCAGGAAAAGAGCCTAAAACATAAGCAGTGCAATAYATAGACCTTAAAATATAAATTTTCTTTTAAGCACAACGGGTATATATAAGGTGCGACAGAAATGGCTGTAATACGATTGCGCGTGCTAAATTATTTTTGCTTCTAAGCAACGTTGCCAAATATATACAGATTATAGATTCACGGTAAATATCCGGTTAGATTCCGAATGTGGCTATCCGGACGTTATTTATTACTTATTATTGCCGATACCAGACGAACTTTCCATCACTAAGAAGTAGCAGGTAATTATATTTTAGATCATACTTTTATATTGAATATTTTATCTTTATTGTAAATTCCCATACATGTACGAATATACCTAAACTATGTCTCGCATTGTATGTCTATACGTATTTACTGGAATGTTAGTTGTGTTCGTGTCTTATACAAACGGGGCTGAAAGTTTCCATAAAACATATAACGCCCAGTTTACTAGTGCTCATCCACCGACATTTGTTGTTATAACTTATAAGTACCCTTATGGAAGCTCGGGCAGAAACCGTCACTAAATTATCAACCAATCAACCATTTCCAAAACAATAATCAAGCTAAAATCAAAGGAAGAACTAAAGAAAATTGATTTTATAAGTAAACAATATGAAGAATATTTAAAAAATAAAACACCAGAAAACTTACTTGAGTATTTTGCCATAATTGGAAATAGGTATCAASGCCTTAAAATTAAAATTATTTTATTTATATTATTTTATTATAACGATTTTTTTTTTAATGAATATAGTTTTTCGAATATTTTATATTATTTTATTATAACTATTTTTTTATTGAATATTTTTTACTTATGAGGTAGACTGAGTGTGAATATAAAGTATATGTTATTAAATGTAACTATTTGTACTATTTGTAACTTTGTGTACTATTTTTGACTGATTAGTGGTCGTATAACGCACGTTTATGTTATTAGAAATAAATACAATAGCAGCATATACGACAAATAACAATTTTTTTTATAATAATAATTATTTTATATTTTAATAATAAGTTGGCAACGTCGTATCAAATTTCATGCGCAATTATTCGCTTTTGAATATTCAAAAGCATGTTCCTTGTTATTCCGGCACCGCGCGAAATCGTATGCTCAAAAAGGTAAAACGCGAACAATCGTACTCCACCGACAGAAATACCAAAAAAAAGATAAACTTTTGTTCTAAATTTCTAATCAATAYTATAAAATWAAATTTTATATTAATTTATAGACGCTTGCGTCAAATATTGTACAGCATAACATTATTTGTTTTTAATATACAAAATTAAAAATTGATTTAGATTTTTTGGGGCAACCCAATTTTTAAATTTAAATTTTTAGATAAATGTTAAAGGTAAAAGCGTTCATTTAAGTTCAAGTAGTTTATTTAAAAAAAATTTTAAATATCAACATTTTTTAGTAAATTAATTTAAATTTCTTGGATTATTTATTATCCATATAGGTAATCTTCATAATTTTTATCATACATTTAACAAGTATCAATTTTTTACCAGGTCTTTTCTTTAGTCTTAAAACCCTGTACTCATGGCTGTAACATAATTTAATTACGCTTATACCCAGTCTTGTAAAGAATACTTTTATTTTTTATTTAGAATATATATTCAAATAAATGAGAACTAAGGTATTCAGAATACTTATTTGAATACTTTTAAAAAAAAAAATTCAGAATACATATTCGAATACTATAAGAATGCTTTTTTCTGTTAGGTTTTATAGGTGTTTTTAAATGGTTGGAATTAACGAATATAAACAACAAATAATACATCAATATTCCAATATATTTACAAATTTATTTATTTATTTATCAAATACATTTTTATTACATTTTAATAACATTACTTTTTCAAAATTTTCATCACTCATACGACCCAGTTTCTTTTTGAACACTGCGCTTCCGACACTAAAAACCCTTTCAACAGATGCACTACTTGGAAGGGGAGTGTTATATTTTATGAATACCTTTTTAATTGAAGGTGTTTCATTTAATGATAAAAGTAATTTATTAGGACTTTTTGATAAGTAAGTGGATATTTCATTAATCATTTTCAATTGAAACATTTAATGAAATTTTATTTGACCATGGAAAAAAATCATTCTTACCAGTTTCACAGTTTTCCTTACTTTCCTCGCTAGGTATGGTATTTTGATCATCAGATAATTTAGCATACATTTCTATTACAGCATCTCTAAAAACTTTTATGGTGGAATCTTTATTTGTGTTGTCACACCACTGTGTTTTAAAAAAAGGATGAGAAACAGCTGCAATTATTAAAAAAGGATCAGTAAGAATACTAGAAAATCTTTTTAATAAACTATTGTGTATAACGTCTACTAAAGGACCATTAATGACAAAACATCTACTTTGTTTCATGTTTGAATATTTACTGATAAGTTGCGAAATTGAAGGAATTAAAAATCCAAAATACGTACTTTTGTCACCCTGTAAAATATCTAGACAAATGGCAAGAGGTTCCATTATAAAAACATAATCGTCTAACCATTCTGTGTCTGATTTGTTTAGATAACTAACATTTAAATCATCACACATCATTAAAAATATCYCAGGATTTTTTTTTAAATGTAGCATTAAATGTTTGGTTAAGTCAAAAAAAGAATTCCACCTAGTTTCATTGGGAGTTTTTAGATAGACACCCAAGTATTTTTTTACAATGTCTCCCGAAGTTGTAGATCGATTTTGTTTGTTCCATAGAGCTGTGCATTTGGCAATTGTCTGTCTTCTTTGTTTTTTAAAAAGTAACAAATCACTATGTTTAGTTTCACTTCCTGTGTCACATTTGATCACTGCATTTTCAATATCCTGAAACAAAATTATTGATGAACCACCCATAAAACCATCTAAAAATATTAAATAATTAGGTAATGTTCTAAATATTTACATTTGTTGCAACTAAATTAAACGTATGAGCAGCATATCTTACTTAAAACTTTTAACAAAATTTGAACCATTGTCTGTGGTTGTATAACTTATTTTGTTGTTTATATCATATTTTATGTATACAGATTCCATTTATTTTGCTAATACATCAAATGTATGTTTCCCCTCCAATCGTTTTACTGTCAATACACATRATTTTCTAGTTAAATCTTCATCAAGTATCCAATGACAAGTAATGCCTATGTATGATCTACCAAAAATTATAACATAATCAATTTTATAAATATATTCAGCAGTGGCAGTTTTTAATAGGTGACTGCTCTCTATTCCCCCCATGAGATTTGGTTAATATCTTTTAATATGAAAACATTCTAAAATAGAAATATATAACTATATATATATAAAACTTTTTTTCATAATTTTATGCCATTTTACTAAGTTTTGTCAAAGCTGCTATACTGATATTTAGTATTTAGTAAATAATATTATTTATTAAAATTGTAGATTACCTACCTTTTAAATATTGACCAGCAGTCAGCAGTAGTAGTAAGATATTCAATATTAGTCATTTCTTCTTTAAGACGGATTAAATGGTGTTGGAACTGGGTATTTAATCTTTTCATTAAAGTTGGACAAGACATAAGTGTTCTCCCAGGAAAGCCTTTTTGAAATTGAATTAGAGTTTTGAAATCAAAATGATCAACTATGCTAAAGGGTAAACATGCATTCACAATAACATTTTGGACTAAAATATCAAGTTCATCTAAAACAAAATATTTTAAAATGGTTAGTTAAAAACTAAAAAAATTTACCAAAATATTTATTTGAATAATTTCAAATTTTTACCTTGACTTGTATCTTTTTGACTGAAGTAAACTCTAATAACGTAGGTTGATTATGATCATACTTTTGAATATTTTTGGCTCTTTTTGCAGATTTTAATACTACAGTTTCTTTAATTTTAATAGTTCTTTAACACTATGTAAATACGAATGTTTAATCTGTGAAAAAAATTACAAAAATATATATTATTAATTATTATATTATATTATAATRATGTTAAATTAATATATTATACAAAATAATATTATAGTATGAGTACGGCTAAATATTAATGATCTATTATTCACAATGAACATAATTCATTTCATATTAAATTAATATTAATTTAGCCAATTTAGGTATAATTAGTAAAGCACTGAAGTACCTACCTTTAAACGATTTCGTAGGTTCGATTTCGATCTAGTATCAGCTGTACGTGTTTTTGTTGATGGACAATGTACGCATTTAACTTCGAACGTTTGGAATATCATTTCATCTTTAATTAATCTTACAATTTTAAAATTCTCGTTATTTATGTCCCAAGAAAGTTTTAAACACTGAACTGTCTGTACTGGTAATTGAATAATGGTATTCGAATGCGATACAGGATCATCAACCATTTCATAATTTAATGAAGACATAATAACAATATAACAAAAACTCGCACTTAAAAATTTATAAAATTAAGGTGCTTATGACCTACAAAACACTATTACCAAAAACAAAGTACGCGTGATGTAATCTTGTCGACTTTTCGAATTCGTTTGTTTGRTCTGTTCAGTGCTGGCAGCGGCAGAACTAATGTGTAATAAGTTAATAAGTAATATGAATAATTATATTATATATTATATAAGTAATAACGAATAACAACGAACCGATAACAAATGAACTGAAATTCCCGAAATTTAATGAATAGTGTAATCATAAGTTATTTATAATTTCGACGTATTATTGGTAACAGGATTGAGAATAGTTGTATCTTCACTGTTCAGTCATTTATCATTTATAATAATAGATCTATACACGACGAAAACCACATGCAATACTGGATATACGGGATAAGAGCATAAGACACAATTATGTTTATAAATATAATCATATCATGAGTCAATTATATTTCGTTTAATGATTAACATTAATATTAATAATATTCTTGATTTATAATTTTCTCATTTAATAATATAAAAATGTCTTGTTACAAATTTAGAACTATTTTTCTGGTCTAATAAAAGTATTTTTTTAATGAACAAAAAATACAAATAAAAGTATTCAGAATACGTATTTGAATACTTTTTCAAAAATGTATTTAAAATAGTATTAGAATACAAAAAAATTATTCAAATAGTTTTATTTGAATACATTTATTCGAATACTTTACAAGACTGCGCTTACCTGATACGTAACTGAGTTTCTACGGAGAATAAATAAATCTAGGTACCTATTATTACTTATTAGAGACTTTGTGAACCTACCATAGCGAATCGGATATTTTCCGGTAAGCAAAGCAGCCCTCGATGGAGTACAAGTTGGTTGGACATAATGACGATTCAATATCACACCGTTATAAGCAAGTGCGTCAATATTTGGCGTAGGTATTTGTATAGATCCGTGAAATCCAACATCATTCCAACCCTGTGTAAATACATTAAGTCAGCAGATCCCAAACGGGTCTTTTAAGGACAAATCGTTTTCAATTTTCAGGAGCGCGGTGGCATATTATAACTATATAAGAAATTATTTCTATAACACATTTGTCTACCTAAGTGGCGTAATTTTATATTTTAATCAAAGGGTTGAATAAATGAGGTACATTACGATATAAAACATGATTGGAAAATCGATAAATCACATGATTTTATTTTATTTTAAATTGTGGGTTGTAGCGGTAATCGCTTGTAAAAATTGTATTTAGAAGATCAAAATTTAAAATTTCCGATATTTTTCAAAAGTGCAGAAAACAAAAAAAAACTTAAGGGAAAACGGGAGTTTTCACAAAATGTCAACAAGATTAATTTAAATTTTGGTATAGCTCTAAAACAGATACTCAACTTTTAGTGTCTTTTACTGAATGTTTATATGAGCATTTTTACCATACATTTTTCAAAATATTTTCAATAATTTTAAACTATTTATATGCACACAAAATAATACTTTTTTATTAGTTTCTTTTAATAAATAACATTTTTATTAAAAAAAACTTAGAAATTAAAAAAATAAGGTACCTCAAAAGTTGTTTTTTATGAAAATTAAAAAAGGTTTAGTGTAAATCCACGATATTTTTGCATGATCATCTGAAGTTAGGATTTTGAAAAAGTTCGTAAAAATTAATGAAAATTTGCAAATTATTTTGAGTTAGAAATTCTTAAAAAAATGTTATTTTTGTATCTAAGATTTGGAAATATATTACAAAATTCCTTTTATGTTGTAACTATAACCTCTAACCTTTAACAAAAAAATTGTTTCAGTAGGTATGCTAAATTTAGTTACATACGTAAAAACAAAAAAAAAAAAAAAAAAAATAGTGACTGGTAAAAAATAATAGTGAACATTAAACTGATGTTAAAATACTAACCAAATCATCAGCAATCATGAGTACAATATGAGGTGATTTTTTGAGTTCTTGTGGCAAAACGCAATCGATCATCTGTAGCAAGTTAACGATTAATATTAGTATACTAGTTTTAAGGATATTGGCCAAGTCCATGACAATCAGTAGTCCAGTGAGTGATATATTATTTTAATCGTCTGTTTTCGAGTATTATACAGTATAGCGACAGTTCAAGAGAAAATAAATTAGACCGATTTTGTTGATCTGACGCAAATTTTAATATTACAAAATATCGACTTGTTAGATGGGACGATTGATTAACAATTGTGAATTGTCGAGTTAAAACTGTACGCGCAAGTGTCAGATCGGATTTAATACGATTTGAATTGATGCGATACGCCGATACACATAATTATGTTTTTATTCGTATTTTATTGTACAAYTACTACAATTTAATACTATACAATGAATAATGATGTAACATTCTATCGTATAATATCATATCATTAGCAACTTATTTCTACAAATTCTGATTAGTCAGAGTTTGTATGGTAATAAGTGATAATCAAAAATCATTAAGAGAATATTAATTATACACTGCCACATTATGTAGGTAATATATAAATATTTTCCCTATACGTAGGTGTACCTATACGTGAAAAACATAATTTTTATTATRTACTTTTTGTACGAAAGAATCGTTTTATCAGTTTTAAGATTTTTATTTTTTATTAAATACAATTTTTAGTAGATGATTATCATTTATCTTTAGTAGTTCATAAAATAACATAAAGTTGTTCGTCGACCTTTATCGCACTGATACGCACCGACTGGTGCGTTTACGTTATCTCCGACACTTTGACGTAAGCCCAATAATATGCTATGTACACAGGTTTAAATGTTTTTGTATATCACAGTGGTTCTTAACCTTTTTCGAATGACGGAACATTTAACATTTTATTAGGTTTTTGCGAAACACAGCCGTAAAATAAAACAGTATTTATATRGGTACGTTTTTAAATTTTTTTTTTGCATTATCGCCATACATAATTTGAACTATTTCTGAACAATGATCATGCTGGTAAAATCAGACTCTCTACTATGGTTTGTTGTTTTAASTCTTTTGCAATTATTTCGGTAACTTTATATGTGATTATGTGATTTGTGCCTAATTAGATATTATTATGATTTTTTTAAATTGTATACATACATAGTTAGAATGTTAACGACAACATATTTTTGTACAAAAATAAACCAACAAAACCTTAAATTATTTTATACACGCTTATATTTTTGTGTTTTGGGAGTCCATCAAAGTCAAAATGTTTAGACAATAAAACTAAAAATTTAGTTAAAAGTGTTTTTATTACTAATTTTAAAATTTTTACGGAACACCGGTCAAGAACCAATATTTGGTATATTATACCATAATATAGTCTTACACTCTTACTACTTTAGTTGATAAATTATAATAAATACATAACGCAGAGGTTTACGACGTTACATTTCAACTATGGGTTCATAATATGGAACATTGARGTAACTCATTGAAATAGTAAATGATTTAAAAATTGTTATGAGCTTATCAAATCCCAAGATAAAAAAATGCATGTATTTTGACCAAAACTCTATTTATTAACTCTACCCAACTAACTGATTTTATTAATGAAAATAAATCAGCGAATGTTCAAAAAACTAGAACTTGAGTTATCTGAAGTTGAGCGTGCTCAATCTACAAATTTCTAAGTTACAACCACAGATATATACAATAATTATTATTGTATATATCTGTGGTAACAACACCMTCGAGTCTTACTACTGACGTATTTCAAATTTCAAGAGTAAAAAGGAAACTTATTACCTACTATGAATACTAGGTAGACTTAGTACTACCTATTCGCATTTAATTGGAGTCATTGAACCTAAAACTACTACAGCGTAAATATATCTCGTTTATTTTATTGGAATTAAAATAAAGAAAWAACGCTTGTGAACAGTATATTTATTAAATATTATATTATACCTAAATGGCTTACCGACTATCTCAAAAACGTCCGAACAATCACAATATAATGATTATATAGTAATGACCTTTATATATATGATCACAACACTCGTGGCATCAAAACTAGATTAAATTTATTTATACAAAACATRTAGATTTATTTAATTACCGTTTCCAATTATGACATTATTGTAGGTACTAACTGAAACCTGGTTATTCAATGARCAATGATTAACTGACTCAGAACTTGGACTTAGTCCCAATTACCAAAGACCTATTTACAGTTACACTGTGGTCTGTGATCGTCATGTATACGAAAATACGTGGCGGCTGTGTATATATCGTAACAAAGGACCACTTCCCAACCCGTMAATTAACTCTCCACAATAACTCAATGGAACAGCTATTCCAAAAAATTAATTTTAAGACCTATAATTATTATTATGTACTATTAAAATTCCACCTACATCTGGTATAAGCTTAACTCACGTATAAGCCTCATATTTGTAACTATTAATATTTTTATTACATAGGTATTATATTAAAATTCTTTATTTACTAAAAGTGTTAACAACTAAAATCATGAATAAAAATGTATAATATTAATTAATCTAAATTTTAATTGATCAACCGTCCATCTAAATAAATATATAATAATTATAAAAACTATAA